CTAAAAAGGAAAAGAACACACGCTGATGAAATTGATTTGTTACTTGGGAAGAATCTTAATGTTTTTTAAGAAAAGAAGACAAAGGTTTCAGTGAATGATGAGGAAAGACATTTCAGACAGCTAGTTGCAGCAACAATGCAGTGATTCACTTCTCGGCAAAAGGCTTTTGCAAAGATAAAAGTCCAGCATGTTCTAACTGAAGTAGAATTTCCACCAGGTTCTACTAATGTCAATCACTTCCCAACTTCATTTATGTCTTTACCATATAACAATTAACTGCATCAAGACATTTACTGTCAATAAGAAATAATTAGTAACAAAAACTAACCTTTGATAATGTGTTGATGATAACCAAACAGTTCTTTTGCTTAATGATAAGTTTTGTTTAATGTATCCTCCAAACATAATGGTATTGCCAGTACACCTCTCACTCTTTACTACTAAAGTACTTTTTAAAGTAGTCCCTCACAGCACTTTGCTGCTCTAGAGTGCCAACAATTTTAATTAATAATTATTGTGATTGCCAGATTTATACTTACCTATTACAACTGACTTGATGGACTAAAGTAAACCCTGGTGAGGTGCCATCATCACGCCAACTACCACTGACAATGTTCCTTGAGTCACCTTCACCATCCACAAATCCTGATGGACAATATAAAATTGACTCTGTGGTTTGAAGTTAATTATGAAGAGCAATGCAAGCCTTTGCATACACTTCAACCCTATATGGTTGAACAATAATAGGTTTGCCGAATCTTCTCCACCGAGAGGCTAGAATCCCAAAAATGTTTTCAATTACACGTCGAGCTCTGCTAAGTCTATAGTTGTATATAGCTTCATCTTCTAGCATAATTTGGAAATTAAAATGCTTCAATTACATTAACTTACCAGGCACATATCGACCAGGGTTTGGACGTAGCATATTGCAATTGAGAGGGAATGCTTCATCTCCTACAATAACAAAAAGGAGGGGTATCTCTGTAGCATTTGGTAGTGGTAAGGGCTCTGGGATAGTGTTTGAGTCTAAAGCCTGACCAAACGAAGAATTGGACAAAATACCACCATCACTTTGCCTGCTAGCTTCTTCAGTGTCAACCAGTGTGAACCTATATGTATGTAGTCTCACTAGCCAGACCCATCCCGCCTACGGTCATTTTGGTGGATGGTGGGGAAGGGTCACGTACATTGAGTGACCTATTTTTGTTCTTGCGGCAGAAATCTGCCATGACCAATAGAATTTCCTCCAGGAGCAGCATCATGACTTGTCACATGACAGTCACGTAATCAATATGGCGGAAGAGACTATCACTTGTTTAGCTTGTGGAAATAAAGCAGATAAAGGTTCTAAAGTGCCAGCAATTCAGGTGGCTTACATACTTAGGAGATATCGCAGCCAAAAATGTACAAAAAATGATATGGAAATCAACATTAAGCAGCTATTAAGCCAATCATAGGTATGTAGGCCTTGTGCTAGAGCATGTCAATCACATGAAAAGACAGACCAGCGTCTATACTCTGCCACATGAACCTAATTTAATTCCATTATATTACAGTGCTGTGTTAGTCCCTTGCTGCTCCCACTTCTTATACCACTCCCCTCACTCCCACTACTCCTATTGTTCATGCTACTCCCACTTCTGAATCTACTTCTCTCTCTTGTGCTATTTCTCTTGCTCCCACTACTACCACCAGTCATGCTTCTCTAACTTCTAATACCACTCCCCTCTCTTCTGCTACTCCCCTCACTCCTACTACTCCTATCATTCATGCTACTCTTACTTCTGATACCACTTCCCTTTCTTGTGTTTTTTCTCTTACTCCCACTACTTTCACCAGTCATGCTTCTTCAATTTCTGGTACCAATTCCCTTTCTTGTGTTATTTCTTTTGCTCCCACTATTCCCACCAGTAATGCTTCTCAAACTTCTGACACCACTCCCATCACTCCTACTTCTCCTATTGTTCATGCTACTCCAACTTCTGATACTACTCCCCTCTCTTGTGCTACTCCCCTTTCTTGTGTTACTCCACTTCTAATTGTTGCTCCAACACGTAGTTCTGCCGGTATTAAGAGGCATAATTCAAAGTCTCGTTTTTCATCTAGAAACAAAAGACTGTGTGATAATGCCACCTCACCTACTGTTTACCATTAGTATAAAATAGTAGTATAATGCACTTTTGATTTATGGAAATTTATTTAGGTTGGTATTGGGTACAAAAGTGGCTTTAAATCGTATAAACAGAATGCTCCAAGATATATAAAGTTGATATGTAATGTAGGAAGGGCCACAGACAGTGCAAGCAGTATTGCCTGTTCTACTTTGAAAGATAAGGAAGTGCAAAAGTATCTTGCTGTTGGAATGGGGAGGTTGCTGAGTATGAGCTAAATAGATTGTGTTCTAGACAAGCAAATTCCATTTTGCTATTAAGAAACCGGAGTGACATCATTAATGTTTCATGGGTACAAGTACTAGAAGAAGTTAATGAGCACTGTCCTTTGCTTTTACAGTTTCTAAATGCAATTGCTGCTACCGAAAAAATAAGGTTAAATAAAAAGCTTTGGTAATTGATTCATCTTAATTTTCATATATATGTGTTAATTTATGTAGATTCAACCACCTTCATTTTATAGTAACAATTGTTTGCTTGATGGTGCAATACAAAAACAATCATATGTCACTGTTTCAAAAACTTGTCATTAAGTTTGTATGCTGGCCATTCGGGAACCATTGTAATATTTCCGTATTTCTTAATTGTTA